ATGAATGAATGAATGATTTCTTCAAGTATTAGCTTTTTCTTTTCTAAGGAACTAATGAATAGCCAAAGATGCTCATGAGGAGTAAATGGGGTAAGAGACTTGAAAGTTATTGAAAATTTGAAAGGGCTACTATCGAATGTGAGCTCTTATTATTTTCCTCAGAGCTTACAGCTTTTTTTTAAAAGATTATTTTCAATGATGACAAATCTTTATCTTCTGAATAATTTAGTTTTGGAAAGAGCCTAAGGTCATTTGGAGCCATGATGAAGAAAAAAGACATATGATTACACTGGGTAATAACATTTTTGGTTTAAAATGAGATATCATTATTTTGTGATAAGGCTGATTTTTTTAAAGTGGCTGTAACGTGGTCTGGAAGATATTTCCAAAAAAAGATTATAGGAGGTATTTTGTGCAAAAGCAAGGTAATTGAAATGACTATAACAACTGCAAATGAAGGGATGAATGTTTATTTGAATATTTATTTAAAAAATAAGATTTAATCATTTATCTCTAGCCTAATTTGTCACCAAGTCTATAATTTTCCACTACCAGCCATTTGTTTCCAACTGTTGCATTCCAATAACCAATTATTATTAAGATCCCTATCTGTTTCCATTCCCAAGAAAGGGGATCCAAAAGAATCTGGAAATTATCAAACAATACCATTAATATCACAAGCAAGTAAAGTCTTGCTGAAGATTATCCAAAAAAACAGAACAGTGCATTGACAAGAAAACTTCCAGAAATTCAAGCTGGATTTAAAAGAGGCCATGGCATGAGAAATATCATTGTTGATGTCAGATATATCATGGCTGAAAGCAGAGAATACCAGAAGAATGTCTTATCTGTTTTATTGACTAAGCAAAGGAATTTGTTTGTGTGGATCATAACAAATTATAGAAAGAATGAGAATACCAGAACACTTAATTCTGTTCATGCAAAATCTATACCTACACTAAGAGGCTGTTGTCCAAATAAGGAAACACTGTATGGTTTAAAAGGGGGAAGGAAAAAAATGTGCTTCCACTTCATCAAAGACGACTTTCAAATGGTGAACAAACACACGAAGAAATGTTCAAAATCCCTACCTCAAAGAGAGATGCAACTTGAAACAACTATGAGCTATCATCTCACGCCAATAACAATAGCAAAACTCAACAGAGCAGCAAACAACAAATGCTGATGAGGTTGTGGAGAAACTGAAACCCTTATTCACTGCTGGTGGGAGTGTAAACTGGTGCCAACCACTCTGGAAGACTATATGGCACTGTCTCAAAAAGTTGGAAACAGAAATACCATTTGACCCAGCAATTGCATTACTGGGAATATATCCTCAAGAAACCATAACTGCCACCCAAACAGATATATGCACATCTATGTTTATTGCTGTGTTGTTCATAACAGCAAAGAGATGGCAGGAACCTAAATGCCCATCAACAAATGAATGGATAGAGCTATGGTATATTCACACAATGGACTACACAGCACTGAAAAATCAGGAATTCATAAAATATTATACAAAATGGGTGACCACAGAGGACATTAGGCTGAGTGAAATATCTCAGTCACAAAAGGACAAATACTGCATAAATGCCACTGTTATAAAAGAGGATGACTGACGTGGAGGTTGAGAGGAAACTAAGAAAACAGAGGATAAATAATGAACACTGCACTGAAATAGATGAGGGAAAGAACTGTCTAAAAGAAATAAATGATTAGGTATTATTTGCATGACAACAGTCCAGAATAAGAGGTGCATAGCAAAGTGGACTGCGAGGCTGGGGGGGAAGGAGGAAATTGAAATTTTATAAAAGGAAACTGTTATTGTTACTGGGGTGAGATGATATCTCATAGTTGTTTTGATTTGCATCTCTCTTAGAGCTAGGAATTTTGAACATTTCTTCATGTGTTTGTTCCCCATGAAAGTATCTTTTTAAAGAGAAGAGCGAACTGGGGGGGATAGGGAGGAAAATTAAACTTTCATTAAAATATCAATTAAAAAGTAATAAAGGGGAAAAAAGAAACTCACATAAAGTCAACTTCACATAACAATCAAGTTTATAAATTAGAAAAAATAAATACAAACTTTGTAAGTAAACCAGTATAACAAAAATTTAACAAGAATTTAAAAAAATATTTCAGAGTTGTATTCTCTCTCCATGCATATTCAATATGTATGCTGAGCAAATCATTCAAGAACCTAGAGGTTATGAAGAGGAACGTGGCATCAGGACTGGATGAAGACTGTATTACAACCTGTGTAATACAGATGACACAACCTGTTTGTTCAAAGTGAAGAGGACATGAAACATTTGCTACAGATCAGAAACTACAGCTTTTCAATATGGATTATATCTCAACATCAGGAAAACAAAAATCCTTATTATTGAGTCAACAGGCAACATCATGATGGATGTAGAAGATAAAAATTTCATCTTCCTGTGAATTACTATCAATACCATTGGTACCAGCAGTTGAGATAAAAATATGTGTTATATTTGGAAAATCTGCTATGAAGGACCTCTCCAAAGTGCTAAGGAACAACTAAGGTGCACCTGATTCAAGTCATGATCTTTTCAATTATTTTGTATGCATGTGAAAGTTGGACAGTGAAAAGGGATGACAGAATAATCAATGTTTTTACACTACAGTATTGGAGAAGACTACCAAATATCCCAAGGACTGAAAGAAATAAAACCTCCATAGCAAATGTCTTGGAGAAAGTGCAACCTGGATGCTCTTTAGAAGCAAGTATGGTCACATTTCATCTCACATACTTTGGACATGTTATTAATATTAGTACTGTAGAGCCCTTTCCTTCCTCTCCCAGAACAGTTACTAAGAGAATACAATAACAGGTAATAGCAGTTATGCTTTTTCTCTCTGAAACTACCCTACCCTCCATTTTCCCAGAAATAGTTACCTGGGACCTCAGCCCACTTCCCTATCTTGAGGGAAGCATCTGTATGCATCCCCTTCCCAAGCTCCCATGTAAGAAAGTATAAAATCTCCCCCTAAATCTTAGTGAGGGTTTGTCTTCTGCTTGAGAGCCAGCCCAGAAGTTTTTCCTCAATAAACTATCTTTCCTGGCCTGCACTGAGTTCTGTCCTTCCTCGGCGACCTTACAGTTAGGAGAGGCCATCCGTTGGAAAAGGACATCATGCTTGGAAAAGTGGAGGGTCATGCACACCCATGTTTATCACGACTTTGTTCATGATAGCAAGGAGCTGGAAACAACCTAAGTGCCCATCAACAAATGAATGGACAGAGAAGCTGTGGTATATTCAGACAATGGAATACTACACTGCATTGAAAAACAAGGAACTCATGCAATATTATTCAAAATGGGTGACCCTAGAGGACACTTTGCTGAGTGAAATATCTCAGTCGCAAAGGGACAAATACTGCATAGCGCTACAGTCATAAAACAGGACTGACACTGGGGTTGGGAAGAGACTGAGAAAGATGGGATAAATAATGTTTACTGCACTGAAACAGATGAGGGAGAAAACTGTTTAAAAGGATATTTGATTAGGTATTATTGTCATGACAGGAGTCCAGAATGAAGGATATATAGTGGAATGGACCTGGGGGGAGGGACTGTAAAACAAAGAAAGAAATTTTCTTTTACTTTTCAAAGAGAAGAGTGTACTGGGAGGGGTGGGGCAGGGAGAAAAGTGCAACAATGAATGAATGGAAATCCAAAGTCTCTGTAAATTTTCATTAAAATTAAAAAAATAGTTTAAAAAAAAGTGGAGGGTCAGTGAGAGAGAGGAAGACCTTCAACGATGTGGACGGATACAGTAATTGCAACAATGGGCTCAAGCATATCAGAGATAAGGATTATGACACTGGATAGGACAAGGTTCAGATCAGACACCAAAACAAATAAATGAAAAACTCTCTCAATGTTGAGTCAGAAAAGACTTAAATCTGACCCTTGAGTAGGTTTTCCAGAGCTATAAACTACACAGGAGGAATGTGCTTATCTTTTTTCCCAGGAGCAGTCAGTGCATTCAAATAATCAGAGAGCTGGAGCGTTTAGCTAGCTGTTTAACTAAAGACTATGCCACCAGAACTCCCTTATTGTTTATAAATAAATAAAATACATAACAAATTTTGGCTGGGATCTTAACTCTGTGTCAAGAACTACTACTACAATAGAAATACTAGGGACAAGACAGAGATATAGTAGCTGAGACGAATTGGTAGTAGGCATTTGATAATATGATTACGCAGGGAATGATAAATTAAGGATGAATAATAACAAACTCAAAGTAAAAAAAAAATCAAGATTTGTGGGAAGCCAAATATCAAACTAAATATTAATCTAAATGATAAAGGAAATGCTGTATCAGGACATGAGGGAGCCGCAAATACAAACTGGAATTCCTCCTGAGACAGGTCACAGGGGTCAAGAGCCAAGGCAGACCTAATTTCATAATTCTTAGATGTATTTGCTAACCCTTCTTTGCTGAGTTAAGCGTAAGGTCTTCAATAAAAAGAGCCTAGCTTCATTTGCATAGAATCCTCTTTGTGATTTGCTCAATAATGTTACAGGGAAGCCAGGTTTGGGGCTTCAGTCTTCAAGCTGCTCCCCTCCTGCCTTTATGCTCTGTTTCTCTCCACCCTGGTGTCACATCTGTGTCTCTGGCTGACAACAAAGATTTATCTTGAAAGACAATGTTTATTGTTCTTCAGATACTACCCCCACAAACAAGGTTCTGATTTGTTCACTAGAATTGTAGTCAATCTAAAGGCACCTATCAACAACAAATTGTCTTTGCAACTACTTTTGATGTATCAGAGAGCTAGGTAATGACAAGGATGACAGAAGATGATTTGATGCCTTTGAGTTGTGGACTGCCAACAGAACAAAGAGGTCTGTCTTGGAGAGGGTAAAACCAGTTTGCTTTTCAGAAACAAGGATTTTGAAACTCCACCTCACATACTTAGTTGTGAGGAGGGATCAGTCCTTAGAGACAGACATCTAACTTGGAAAAGTGGAGGGTCAGTGCAGGAGAAGAAGACCCTGAGTAAGATTTTTTTTTTTAATTTTTAAAATTTTTTGTTTTTTAAATTTTATTATTTTTGTGTATGTGTACCGTCAAATCGGATCTGACTGGTAGAGGAGGAGATTGTCCCTTCTTCCACGGCAGAGCATCTGGTGGATTCGAACCATGCGCCTCTGGGATTGCAGTGCAGCTTCATGCCACTAGGCCACCAGAGCTCCCCGAGTAAGATGTTTTGACATAATGACTGTGGTAATGGGGACAGGTGTATTTGAGACAGTGAGACTGGCTCAGGTTAGGGCAGGGTACACTGAGCTATACTTCATAGAGTCACTATGTGTCATAGTCAACTGCACAGCACATAACAACAGATATTTTTGCTTCTCACAACTGAGAAATGCTACTGGCATTTATTACGTAAAAGCCAGGAATGCTACATCCTAAAATACACAAGACAGAAATCCTCTATACCACAGAAATATCTACGTCAGCACAAAATGTCAATAGAGCCCTGGCTAAGAAAACCTGATCTGATCTAGATCATGGATACAAATCACAGGTACAAGAAACAGAAACTCATTCCATCGAAAACTGCTGGAGGACATGGAAGCAAATATGGTGATATGTACACTTCACACAGTAATGAATCTCATTTTAAAATATACTAGATGTAATTTTGGGACAATATCTTTTAGTTATTCTTATACCATAAGACATTTCAGGTACAAAATTTCAAAGGTAAAGCCATAAATATAAAAAAGGCACTACAAGCAATGAAAGAAATTCAGTCAACGAACTAGAAAATATAAATGCAATATAAAACACAAATAAAATGCTACCTGTAATCTAAAGACACCGAAAAATTAGGGGAGGGGGAAAAAATCTACCAAAACTCTGCACAAAAGATTAAGTCAATTCACAAAGACTATGTAGGCATAAATGTTACTAACATGAAAATACCAAATATCAGTTATCTTATCAAAATAAGATAAGTATTTATTTAAGACCCTATTAGATGTGGCAATGAATGAATGGAAATCCAAAATCTCTGTAAATGCTCATTAAAATTATTTAAAAAAAAAAGACCCTATTAGATTAACAAAACCTCCCAAAATACGACAATACATTGTGCTTGGGAAAACTGCGGGGTAAAGCATCTGCGCGGCGATCCCACGGGCTCGCGGGAGGAGGACGGGCAATGTCCTCCCGGGTGATCACTGCCTCCGAAAACCCGCCCGAGGATCAGCTACGGTTCAGTTCTGAATCCACAATAAACAACAGAGTTGAGTAAACAAATATACAGCAGGTGTCTGTCAGAAAAGGGAGGAATAAACATAAGATAATGTTATTGACTGCCTGCCAGTCGAGCACAACTCAGAGCGACCCTATGAGTAAGAAGTCCTGAAGGCCCTGGATTCGTAATTTTTAATATTCTCCCATGAAGCATCGAATGGATCCTAACCGCCAATCTTTCATTAGTAGTCCAACATGTTGAACATTACATCGTGTTACCAGGGCTCCTTACAAAGTTATAAACGTATGTATATACACAGACTGCTATCAAGTCAATTCCAAATCATAGCACCCCACTGGGGCAATCGGTAGTGGTGTCGAGCGTAGCAGAATTGCTGCTGCTAAACAAAACGCTTCTAATCTCCGGCAGTTCGAGCCCACGAGCAGCTCGGCGGGAGAAAAATGTGCAGTTTCTTCCCTTTAAGATTTACCGCCTTGGGAACCTGACAGGGAGTTGCTATGATGGCGACATCCAATTCCATTCTATCCACCGCCGTCGAGCTGATTCTGATTCACAGCCACCATGAACAAGGCTAAGAACTGGGTCTCGCTCGAGGGGACGGAACCCATAGGTGTCACCTGCTCACCTCACCCTGCAGGAGCCAGTCACGGTGGTAGGAGAGACGGCCTTTGTCCGAAGAGCGCAGCGCCTGCAGGGTTTCCCAGCAGCGACCCCCGGAAGGCATAGCTTCGCTGCCTGCAGGGGCCTGGAACTAGTGTTTGTAGCAAAACAAAACCTCGAATCAACCGCCCGGAAGCCGACCCCCACTTCCGCTTCCAGGTCAGGAGCCCGGACGTACCGTCATATAAAAACTACGCGCCACGCCTCCTGCGGCGTGCCCGTCCCCCGCTCGCTTTTCTGCGTGGATGGCAGTCTTTGGTGGTGACCAAGCAAGGCGGTTTGAGGAAAGTTCCGTTTTGGTATTGCGTAAAACTTACTAGTGTTGACTATAAGATGGAGATATTGGAACTCCCGGACAGAGCTGGTGCAGTGTGAAATGGGAAAATTGTCCACTTTTTTCCTCTAGAAAATGACGGTTCCTCAAAAGGTTAAACATAGCGTACGAGACGGCAATTTTATGTTTAGATATACACTGAAGAGAAATTAATACACTTGCACAAAGACTTGTAAACAAATGTTATTTATTTGTGACAGCCAAAAAAATAAAAGCCAAATACACAATTATCCACACTATTCCTAACAGCCAAAAAGTAAAAACTATTCAAACTCTAAAAATCATTCAAATACAAAATGGGGCATTACCCATACAATAAGTAATTGTTGACATGTGCCCTCTATTGGAACTGCCCCTCCAGTGGGTTTTCAGAGGTAATGTATTACCACGTAGTGATTGCCCATCTTCTCATGGAACATGGTGAATTGGAACTGTGTGCCTTTAGGTTATCCCAGTTGCTGGTACCACTAGGCCACCAGATTGTGCCACAATATTACTCCGCCATAAAAATGTGAACCTTGAAAAAATTCACGAAAGGTCACGTATTTATTATGCCATTTATAGGTCGTCCAAAGTAAGTAAATCATAGACAAAGCATATGAGAAATTTCCAGAGATTGGAGAGAGAGGGAAAGAAGTATGACAGCTAACAAGTGACTCATTCATTGCCATGGAGTAGGAAATGATTCACAGATGACTCTCTATTGGGTTTCTGAGGCTATAATTACACAGGAGATAATAGTCCATCTTACTTCCAAGGAGCCACAGAGAGGTGCGTCAGTTTAGCAGCGCAACTCTCTGGTCTAGGCCACCAGAGTTCCCTTTTGGGGTAATCAAAGAGTTCTGGAACTAGACAGTGGTGATGGTTTTACATTTCTGTCAATATACTAAGAACTGCTGGACTCATTTTTAAATGCATATATTTTTATTTCAAGGAAAAGAGTATGATTCAAGAGTATGATTTAAAAAGTTAAAGGAGGCTTTTTTTTTTGCATCCCTGGATGGGCTAGACTCTAAAGGAGGCTTTTTAAACCAGGAACCCACTTTATGTCCTTTTTATTCCCCATAATAATCCGTGGGATCGCAGTCTGAGGTAGGAAAGCTTCTTTCTGGAGTTTGAATATGAACATTTATTCTTCTCTAACACATTCCTTGGACATGTGACAAAAATATTTTAAGAAAAACAGAATGTTATTTGAAAAGCCTTTCCAATAGATCCCTAGAGAGAGACGTTTATCCCACAAAGTTATATACCAGTCCCCTTCACAGAAATGGTGGTCTTTTAAAAACTTCCTGCAAAGTTGGCATTGACTCATACATAGATAGTTGTGATTCAGTGGGTTATGAAGGCTGTAAATCACACAGGAGAGTGTCTATTTTTTTTCTTCCATGGAGCAGCTGGTGGGTTCAAACCACCAGAAAAGTGAAGCCTTGAGGTCAGCAGTGTGACTTCTTGTGGACTATGCCATCAGAGCTTCCTAGGTTCTAGTAAGGCAAAAATTAGTTAAACAGGCATGTATTTGTACTCATGTGGGTGTTAAGTTTGCCAACTGTCTTTCCTTAGGAATATCTTTCAGACATTCTAAGTTCAAGTCCATACTAAGGATGTGAAAATGGGCTTGGTATTGGGGCAAAAATAGCAAGTATTTTTGCTCATTATTTTGTTTCAATTTACTTTCCCTGACAAAGTTAAAAAACAAAAACTCAAAACCTGGAGAACGGGAAGATTTCTCTGGTCTATGAAATCCACTTATCCTAAGACCCTTTAAGGACACAGAGGAATTTACTCTAGAATTTTGGACATGGATTAGAATAAATAATTGAGAGGACAAGCCTAGATTATTTACAAGGCCAATCTAGCTACAATGGAAGGGTCAGAGTTCAGCATAGCAGCTCCAATTTTATTCTTTTCTCTGTTAATTTTTTTCCTTAATTCTTTTAAATACACAGAAATATGGATAGAACAAAACTAGCCTATAATATTACCTTTCAGACATTATTTAACATTTTTTTAATAATTTTTATTTATTTATTTATTTATTTATTTTATGTGTGTATCGTCAAATTGGATCTGACTGGTACAGGAGGTGATTTTTCCTCCTCCTTCAGCAGAGCATCTGGTGGATTTGAACCGTGCACCTCTGGGATTGCAGTGCAGTTTCCTGTCACTAGGCCACCAGAGCTCGCCTATTTAACATTTTTAAAATAAGTTATCTATATCTCCTTTCCAACAATTAAAGTGGTCTGCCCCAAAAGCTAAACAATGATTTACAAAGTTTGTTTCCTCCAGATTATCTCCTAGGGTTATACTATGAAAATATACCAAGGACAAAAAACCAACATGGGTCAAAATGAAATGAAAATGAAAAGCCTAATGTTTCATGTTTCAAATGCTTTAAAAATGTCCATGAGCTCTCCTGTAACATTTCTGCAAAGTATTTCCAGGGTTTTATTGATCATTTTTGGAAAAGGAATGGGAAATGTAATGGAAATCATTCAATAGAGCCTTAAATACTGATGATAAAAGTACAACACAAATATTTCAAAAATATTTTCCATAGACACAAATCAGGCAAAGAGAAACAAACAAACAAATCAATGAGACTGGGGTAACACTTCTAAAAGTTCAATAGGCCATGAACCATAGAGTGCCCAAGAGTATCTATGGTGAAGTGCTTTCAGGGCTGAGGGGACAAGGGACTTCAAGGAAACTCTTGGGCATGAGACGCTGTCAATGAACTTGGGAAAGGAGCCTTGGAAAAAGCACTGCAGTCATGAAATACAAAGTGGAGATACTCACAACTCAGGAGGAGGGGGAGGGATGAGGATGAAGGCAGACCTCTGGCTAGTAGCCCCTGCTGATTCAAGTCAGAGAATGTGCAGGAGGCAGATTTCCCAAGAAAGGAAGGCTAAAAGGAGACTTGAGGAATAGGCTTAGCCAAATATTCTCTGGGGAATCCTGCGTTAAAATCTGGTAGCCTAGGGAAGTGAATTTAAGGCCTGTCCGGGTAATTTAAAACTTCTATCAGGCAACTGTAGAGAGCCAAGTAGGGTCATGAAGAACCACGTCACTCTCACACTGCTTGAGGGAGCTTTCTGGAGCCAGTAGCCAAAGACAAAACCCTGAAGATAGAGGAAAACCCACAGGCTTTCCAGATATGGCTTGACAACTCCATAGTTTCACAGCAACAATCAAGGCTCCCACCCCAAGACAGAACACTTCAGGGAGGAGGAGATCGGGATCGGATAGGGGAGCTAGTCAAGTAAGTATTAAAGGGACCATCCCCAAACACATTGGCATATGACGACTTGAGGAACTGAACATAGTTCTGCATGCTTCTATTAGTGCTCTCTGACTGCTCCAGTCGATCTTTTAAGTCCTGTAGCCGGCTCTGGTAACGGCGGTCCGCCTAAGAAAAGAAACAGTGAGAGCATAGATCAAGTGTAGGGGGTGAAGGCAGAAGTCTGGTGGCCCATTCTCTCCTTGGCAACATTAATTCACTGTCTGGAATGGTCAGTTTCACTTTTCTGTCTTCCCCCCATAGGTTTCCTCCCTCTGATGTCCACATTCCCAGTGCCAGGCATACCAGCATATGTAATCAGAGGTATGCAATAAAGACCCTGAAATTATATACAAAACTGGATTTGAGTATTTGATGGGATAGTTAAGTCCCACGACCTTCATCAAATTTTCAAATGGGCTTCCCTCAGAGCCAAAAAGGTAAAGACCAGAGGAAAAAGAAAAAGAGAGAGAGAGAGATTGTATGGCTATGAGTAATGCAACTGTGCAGTCCTATTGCCTGGATTCAGTAAGACTCCGTTTCCCTTATTTATAAAATAGGGATATAACTAGAATTCAGCCATTTAAAAAAACCAACTTCCTGATAATCATCATTTCCACGATGTTAAGAAAGAACAATCAATATGAAAACCTTGCCTGCCAAGAAGCCCAGCAAGACAAGCTGAGAGAGAGGGGGGGGAAAAAAAATACCAGAACCAGGAGCTAAAGCAGCAAGAGATAATTAGCAGAGAGTTTCATTTCCCATAACAGGGCACTATGTAGTAGAGAGGCTTTGCCACACCCAAGGAGCTCAGCCACACGGAGGGCATCAATACCAGTCAGTAGTGCCACTGCAAGAGGTAAACTGTAGAACCAGCAAAATATAGACACAGTGGCATCCTTTCTATTTTTCTTCCTTTAGAACCCAACAGAAGATCTATAGTCAAAGAAAACAAGGAAGACTAGACCAAAACATTCCTCTATGCAGGTCTCTGAGTTTCAAGCCAAGCCTCAGTTAAGGAAAGGAGAGGCAATGACAGTAAACTGATCAAACATTTATGTTAAAACAGCAGCAAAAAGAATTCAATATTTGGGGCAAAAAATTTAACAGAAGTAGAAGGCTTATATACTAGAAACTACAAACACTGCTGAAAGAAAGAAGGATATAAATAAATGGAGAAATACTTCTAATGTTCCTAAACTAGGAGATTTAATATTGTTAAAAATGGCAATACTTCTTCAAATTGATGTAGAAACAACATAATCAATAGCAACAATCATAGCAAAACCTCAGCTGGCTTTTTGCAAAAACTGATGAGTTAAAATTCCTATGGGAATGAAAGGGACCCACCCAAAATAGCCAAACCAAAAAAAAAAACCAAAAAACTACATTTGAAGATTTCATGCTTTTCAATGTGAAAACATACAGAACTGGCATGAATAAAGATTTATCTACTAATGGGATAAATTTCCAAGCTCAAAAATCGGCTCTTCATTTATAGACAAGTGATATTCAATAAGAGTGCTAACAATTCAAAGGGGGGGGGAGAAGTCTTTCAAACAAATGGTATTAGGACAACTGGTTATCCAAGTGAAGTAGGACCCTATCCTATATCCTATACAAAAATTAAACTGGATCATAAACTCTAAATGTTAAGTGCTAAAACTGGATGACTCTTAAAAGAAAATTACGTATTTTGGGGCTAGGAAATTATTTCTTAGCTATGACACCAACAACACAGATTCAGCTCAACTCATTGTAGTTGAGTCAGCACCAACTCAGCAGGTTTTCGGGGCTATAAACAATCACATGAGAGGAGATAGCCCATCCTTTGTAGAGGGGATGAGAAATTCAAACAACTGCAAAGGCTCCACCTTTGGGTTAGCAGTGCAACCTTAGTTGACTCTGTCACTAGAGCTCCCTTAAAAGCACAGAAGATAAGGAAAAAAAGAGATAAACTGGGATTCATCAAAATTTAAAATGCTATGCTTCAAAGTACATTACTAAAAAAACCCCATACAATTACAGAATGGGATAAAATATTTATAAATCACTGATCTGACAAGGGATCTGTAGCTAGAATCTATAAAAAAGAGCTGTTGCAACTTAACAATGAAATGAAAAAGTATCCAATGTTAAAAGTTGGGCAAAGATTTCTCTAAAGAAGACATACATAAATGGACAGAATGATGCTCAATCAATATTGTTAAGTCAGTAGGGAAAATGCAAATCAAAACTACAATGAGATGATATTACTTCACACTCACTGATTGCTGTCATGTGCTGTGGGGTCAGAATCGACTCACAGCTCACACAGTAGGGAGTTTTCAGAGGCTGTACACTGCACGGAAGAAGATTAGACATTTTTTTCCACAGAGCAGCTGGACCACTAGGTATTTTTTAAAAAATAAAGGAAATCATGTTTTGTTCAGGATATGGAGTGACTGGAACTCTCAAGCACTGCTGGTGAGAATATAAAATAGTGAGGCTGCTTGGGAAAAGAGTCTAGTAGTTCCTCAAAAAAAAAAAAGAAAACAAAGGGGGGGGGCTCTGGTGGCCTAGTGGCAAGAAGCTGCACTGCAATCTCAAAGGTTCATGGTTCGAATCCACCGGTTCTTCCCCTGGTGGAGGGGCAAGCTCCTCCTGTTCCAGCTGGATCAGATTCAACTGTACATGAAAATAAAAAAAAATTTTTTTAAAGTTAAAAAGAAAAAATGCAAGCATAGTTGACATATGCTAGGCACTGAACCACAAAAATTACGTGTTTGGGGGGAGCTCTAGTGGCCTAGTGGTAAGGAGCTGCAACTACAATCCCAGAGGCTCACGGTTCGAATCCACCAGATGCTCTGCCGGGGAAGGAGGGACAATGTCCTCCTGTACCAGTCAGATCTGATTTGACGGTACACTCACACAAAAATAATAAAATAAAAATTAAAAAAAAAACTATGTGTTTGGCTGATACCTGGAAGGTTTTTAATTTGAACACACTCTGTGGCTCCTTAGGAGAAAGCATCATCAACTTGCTTTAGTAAACAGTCTAAAAAGCCCTTTGGAGGCATGCAGCTCTGTCCCATGGACTTGCTATGAGTTACAATGAACTTTGTAGCACCTAACAATGAGTGTATAATCAAGAGAAAGGAGTGAAAACCTGTACTAAACAGCTCATGGCAACAATATTCATTAAGTAATAGTCATTAAGAAGCAACAATCTAGTTGCACTGCAATCTCAGAGGTGCACGGTTCGAATCCACCAGATGCTCTGCTGGTCAGATTTGATTTGACGGTATAAAAAAAAACATGAAATAAAATAAAAAAAGTTTTAAAAATTAAAAAATAAAAAAATTTTATAAAAAGAAGCAACAATCTACATATTCCTTAATTGATGAGTGAACAAAATGTGGTATACATCCATATAATGAAATATTATGTGGCAATGAGAATAAAGCTCTGATACATGATACTACATGAATGAACCTTAAAATCATTGTATAATTCCACTCATATGACATGTCCAGAACAGACAAATCCATTGAGAGTTTATTTATGAATGAGTCCAGAATTTTTAAAAAATGTTCTAAATTCTTATTGTGGTGATAACTTTACAACTCTTTGAATATACTATGGCATATGAAATTGTATCTTAACAAAGTTGTTAAGAATATGGGGAAGAAATCTGTAAGAAATTTCCTAAAAGGTGGCGAAGTATATGAAGAAGAAAAAAAATTAGACAATGGTCCTCATTCATTCTTCAAGCCTAGAGCTCAAATTACACCCCTGACGCAGCTTTCAGCCAAACAATACAGAGACCTAGAAATTGATCAATAATACCAAGGAGAAATGTGTTACTAGATGCATCAACTATGCAAGATGAAAAGGGCAGCATTTGCCCAAGTATAAAGCTCAGATGTCAGGAAAAGAGAGGAAAGAAAGATGAGTGGAAATAGAACACACAGGAAGGAAGCAGAAGAGTGCTTACAATGTGGAGACTGTAATCAATGCCAGGAAATAACATGTTCCAAAACCCAATTTACTCTGTAAATAACCAGAAAAAAGTTTAAAAAAATAATAATAAAAGAAGAAAAAAAAATCATGTCATATTCAATAAAATAACAATGATCACTTTGCCCTACAATCTACAAGGAAAGATAAAACCTCAACCCCTCTTTCTTCTCTCCTCTCGCTCAATGCATGCCTGCCTGACTCACATCATCACGGCTCCGCCGCAGCTGGCTAAGTTCTGTTTTAGTCCTGCTTAGCTGGGTCTCAAGATCCAGGATTTTGTTCTGGGATGCTCGCTCCTTGGAGACTGCATGCTCCTTGGTTTGTTCCACCTGCACAGATGACAGAAAAGTAGGCTGCTCTTTGTGACCTGCAAAAACCTGGTAAAGCAAAGGCTGGCCTGCTCCCACTATTGGGTCCCACAGAAAACATCTGCACATCAACATGGAGCCCCTGGGATTCAGTGTAGAAGCAAACTGAGGGATTGCTCCTTCTGCATTTATTTTTATTTGCCCTTTTCAAATCCTAATGTCCCATGAGTCTTCACTGAAGATATAGAAGTCCTGCCGAAGTCCCAATCAAAGCAGCAATTAAATTATATTCATCATTAATAAAGAACTAAGCCCATGACAAGTTATTTATTTGGTCTTTATAATAATAAAATTATGAGGTGGGTCCAATCATTCCTAGATTTTTAGTTTGGTTTTTCTTTTAATTAATTTTAATGAAAATTTACAGAGACTTAGGATTTTCATTCATTGTTGCACTTATCTCCCTGCCAACCCTTCCCTCCTCATTCCTAGTTTTAAGATGGGGAAGTTGGCTCAGATAGGTGATGTGCTAAATTAGGTAGTAAGTTAGTAATGAATTTGGACTGACCTGCCTCCTAGCATCTTCAATGGCACTCTCCAACTGTCTGGCCAGGGTCCCACATTCTCTTGTTTTCTCCTCCAGCCGCAACTGGGACTGGTGGATTGCCTCCTCCCTCTTGGCAATCACCTGGAGGAACTCGATGTTCTGGGCACTGGTTGCTTCCAGTTTCCTAGGTGAAAACAACCCATCAGATCTCATCTCCCTACCTGCTTTGTTCTACCCCACAAAGGGGCTGTCAGCCACTCTTGGATCAGGGCTCTCATCACGCCGAATCTCTAAGGAGCCAGAGGAATAAGCCAAAGAGATCTGCGGGTCAGCAAGACCAAACAATCGTATGGCTGGAGAAGCTGGTTAGTGGACAGTATAACAAGGAGAGAAAGCAAACATGGAATGACCATGGACTGTGCAAGTGTGCATTTCATCACAGGTAATACAGCAACTTGCAGCTCAAGGAGATGGCTATCATTATCCCCATTTTACAGATGAAGAACTTGAACCTCAGACAGGTGATGTCAACGGCCCAAGGTCAGTACAGGTGGCAGGCAGTCTGTCTTCAAAACCCTAGAGTCAAAAACGTTTAGTGTTCGCTACTGCCTCTCATTAGCAAGGAGTTCCTCAGCTGACCTCTCCACAGCTTTTATCTTTTCATGCCAAGGAGGAGCAGTTGACTATCTCAATGCATTCCAGAGCAGCTTCCATTTTAAGGAGCTGTGGAAGTTCTGCCCAATCTAGTTGCATCCCCAAGGTCAGGAGGGTAAGAGAACACTGAGTTCAAGTCCCTGCATCCAGGTGCACCCACCAGTGTGGACAGTTACAGCTTCCAAGGATTTCAGGAAACTGAGGCCAAACCACTGCAGGGGTTCTCCAATGTGCTTATCATTTTCTAGATGCTAACATACTGAGAAACCCTGGTGACATAATGGTTAAGTTCCCAACTGCTAAGTGAAAGTCAGTGTTTCAAACCACCAGCTGCGCTGTAAGAGATATTGCAGTCTGTTTCTGTAAAGATTTACAGCCTTGGAAACTCTATGGTTCATGTCTACTTTGGCCTATGGGGTTGCTGCAACTCAGAATCTGCGACAGGAGCAGAGTTGGTTTGGTTGGGAACACACAAGTTGAAGACAAGCAGCTAGAAGTCTTGAGTCACAGCTTTGCTAGAATTAACTGGGTGACCTTAGGCAAGTCACTTAGCCTCTTCAAGCCTCAGTTTCTTCATATTTCAAATTGTATTATCAGTTAACATATATGGAACCTTTCTCAATGCAAATACAAGTTATTTTCTGGGTGAAGATTCACAATAACCCCATCAATTGGACTATTACTCCTACCTTGATCCCTTTCTCAAGAGGAGAAACTGAGGTTCAAAGGTGTTAAATGATTTGTTCAAGGTCACACAAAGCAGGTTAAGTGACAGAGCTGGGACTCAAGGCTTCTGATTCCAACAGGTGAACTCTCCACCTCTGATTGCCTCCAATTGTCCACAAGTAAAAAAGAAGATTCAGACCAGAAAGCTATCAAGGAAGGATGACTGAGAACAGAATGAGGGAGAAATGCCCCCAACACAGTGTACTGGCTGCTCCACTCCAGCCAGGCCCTGCTTAAAAGCAGCATGTCTCTGACGTCTGCAGGTGGTCTGATCTCGATCACACTATTGTGTGATACTCCCCCAAGGCAAGAGACCACCTTCTTCTCTCCCATGATGCTTACCACTGAAATGGAAGCAGCTGCTTCTCTGAAGTCAGCCCAGTACCTTCCAGGGCCTTGAGTCCCTTAAACATTTCAGCACGCTAAGCACAAAGCAGCTAAGTGGCTGAAAGTCTCAAGTCCAAGGGAGAGGACAGAGATGGGACCAAGTGCCTCTAACCTCTCCAGTTCATCCACCTTCAGACTCAGCTGTTTATTTTGCTTCTGGGAAGCCTGATGTTTCTCTCTCGCCATCTCCAGCTTGTCCCCCTGGTGTTCGATCTAAAATGACAGGAACACAGACTGGTTTATGAAAGAAATTCCCCGAACAGCCCTCCCTTTTCTCTGTGACCCAGGACAGGTGCACGTTGCCCTCAGCAGGCTCTCAGTTGTCCTCTCAGTGCACAATCTGGAGGAGAGAGGACAGCAGAGAAAGGTTAGACTCAACTCCCAAGGCTTTTCCACCCTGAGAGAAGTGATGCTTTCTTGATCAGGAAAGGCAACTCAGTGGCCCAGCTGGGATCCAGGGCAGACATGAGAAGATACAAGCAGATGTAGCCTAGTTGACCCAAATGACAGCCGATGGAACAGCCGTCATTACCAATTATGTTGATAATGATTTCTTTATCCCTTTGACCAGGGACAAGTGTAGGCAGTGCAACAAGAAATGTATTGATACTTTCAGACTAGCAAGTTGGAGAAGTTAACCCGAGGGTTGCTTTATGCAGAACCTTCAGCCATCAGAGTTTGAATGAGAAGGCTCAAATGTACAGGGAAAGTAGACAACTTAAAAGTAGGGGCTTGGGAGCCAGTGGCAGCTTACATGATTAATATTGTGACCTTAAGAAATCACTTTCCTTCTTTAAGCTTTGGGCTCTTTTCTGTAAAATGAGGATAATACCCATAGTTCACAAAGTTCCTGGGAAAATTAAATGAGACAATGCTAGTAAACTCTATATCCCATGTAGAACACAGAGCAGCTATTAAAAAACTGATAGCTACATTTCTTCTTAATAAAAAGCAGGTGAAGAGAAGGGAAAGGATTGCCCAAAGCCATACTGTGAGTGGCATGTAATTTCTTGGACAGCATAACCCAGATAGATGCAGGTTGGTTTGGGGAAACAGGAAGCCTTCTTTCAGGACAGAATTTAAGGCAAGCAATGCACCTACTAAGAGCAAGCAAAGACCTTATTAAAGCTATAGAAAATCGTAAGGGGGAAAAGAAACTGTGGCTTGAGGTTGTCTTGTGTTCATGGCTATGTGGCTAAGGACTCCAGCAGATGCAAAGAGCAAGAGGCAAGAAGAAATGTGGAGCCCACAGGGGCAGGTGACTGCGAGAGGGCTCAATTCAAACGAATGAGACGGCTCTGTTATCTATAATCACTATGTGCAAACACGAGGTATTTGGCACACCAGACTTTTATTTCACAGCACTGATGATAGCTCACTCCTTTCAGAAAGCGGCAGCCAAGAAAAAGAAGAGATCTTCCCTTGGGGGCCATGCAGCTCATCTTGGTATGCGGGCCCCTGCTCGGGCCAGTTCGTGGGACCCTTTCTGCCAGTCCCTTACCCGGCTGCGCAGGTCTGATATGATGGCTGTGAGGTCAATGTTCTTCCTCTCGTATCCCTGCAACTGATCTTGGCACTCGGCTAGCTTAGCCTCTGTAATCTTGAGGATATCAGGTAACTGCTGCAGGTCAGCCAACTGGGACTGGAACTGCCGACGTGCCTGGAGTAAGGAGAAAATGCCCACCATTGGGAAGGTCCTGGCTGCTCAAGGAGCCAAAGTCCTTTGGAGTTAGGGAAGGGCTGCCCTACAGTGCCAAGAAGAGAACCCTGAAAAATCCACATGCCTGTTCTCACTGTAGATCACTTAGCAGGGCTCTAGCTTCTCTCTGAGGGGAAAACCTTGAGCTTGCTGCTCATTCAGTCATTGAGTAACAACTGTAGGCATTGAATTCATGAAGTAGGTGATATTTACCCCTACTTTATAAAGAAACTTAGACTCAAGGAAGTTATTTGCCCAAAGTTACTCTTCTATCTCCAAATCCTGATGGAATACAATCACCATGTGATAAGGTTTCCAAATCAGAGGGTTAATAAGCCCAAAATTATTCTGATCTTGGACTCAATCCATCTCCTATGTTGCCACTGAGGGGATCCTTTTGGTTTGAAAAGAATAATGGTCTTTGGGGAATGGGAGAGCAGGTATATGTTCTGGTTAATATCCACTATATAAGGCAGTTCTAATGTCAGAGTCCACAGAGAACTGCACTGCTACCCCACAGATGAAGCCTCTCTAGCACTTCTAATCCACCAATGACTCCAACAGAGAAAGATAGGCAGTCTCTTCCTATGAGATTTATAGCCTCCCACCAACAACTAGAGGGTCAGCTATGAGTCCGTTTGATCTCAACTGCAAATTTTTGGTTAACACAAGTTAAAAACACCACACAGAATTAATTATGCATGCCTAATTCCTATTAGTCCTACAGATTTTGAGTTCATCCATTTGGATATTTTGAGGAAGACAGTTATTTTTTTAAAAAAAAAACAAAACAAAACATTGAGAACAAAAACTAAGAGGAGAAAAAGAGTCACTAAAAAGAGGAGACAAGAAAAAGGAGAAAGGAGAACATAGACTCAGTAGAGTGCTCCAAATCACCAATGAGGAAGCTATTATGTCTGATTCTGGGTCAGAGGCAAACAAGGACAGTTGGCCACCGAAGGAAAAGGGGACAGGGAAGGGGAGCAGTACCGCTTCAATTTCTTTGTTCATCTCATCCTTCAGGATCTTGTTCTCTTTGTCACAGCGTTCGAGCTGGGCAGCCACTTCATCTGCCTCCAATCTAGTCTTCATTACCTGTGAGCCAATAATATATGAGGTTATATGGAATAGAATAAAATTTTGGTGAAAAACACCCTACCTAGAAATGATATCAAGGAAGCCTCCTAGCCAGAGAAAAGAGAAGGGAGAGAAATTTGCTCCTTTAAAATGAGGGTCCAAGGCTCTTGAGAGACCTACCTGACTCTTATAGTTGTCAATCATTCCCTCATAGTTCTTGACTGATGCCTTCAGCTGTTGGACCTCCAGATGTGCCTGACTGAGTTTGTCCTCCATTGGGGCAAAGCTAGCCTAGAAAAGATGGCTTGTAAGTAACCAACAGGAACTGTTTTGGATTATAGGACTATCCTACTTCAACTTCTACTCCAAGAAGCCAGCAGTTTAAGAGAGATAACAGGGTAAGACTTAACCACCCCAAGTAAATACAGTACATAATTATGAAACAAAATGAAGAAAAAAGAAATCATTAAGCCTTGACATTAGATTATCTATAGGTGTGTGGCTACTTTATTTTTCATAACAAATGGAGTATACAATACTTACTACTCTGCAACCTTTCTTATGTGTGTGTTACTATTATCTTCTAAAGTTAATAAATATCCTCCCTACAACTCAAATAACCACCTCAGGAGATTGGGACAAAAATCAACAATGGTGTCTCAATATTGCATTATAATAAGCAGTCTTTGAAAATAAAGAGATAGAGATCTGTAAACAGACCTAAAGAAATGTCGAGGAAATATGATTTCATGAGAAAAGCAAACAGCAGATTGGTGAACAGATGTTGTAGAGCATATAACTATGTCTCCCAAAAATATAATGCTATAATGTAGATGTTACATATTGACTCTCCCATGATCTAACAAACCAAATAGCTGAAAGAGGATAAAGAGTGAAATGCAATATTCTTTACCCCCATCAAATAAGGACATTTCCCTAAGGTGTGGTCTCTAAAATAAAAGGGAAAAAGAGCAGGAGGGCTCAGGACCAGAAAAACAGTGGTGCAGAGTGAGGTATGTGCCCTTTTGGTCCCGGGCCTGTGCTAGGAAGCTCCTTGAGGCTGGAAAAGGCCAGAACACAGAAAAATCTATAGGTCTAGGAATGCCTGGCCTACCGATGCTGACAGAGACAAGGACTTGCTTCCACTTTTTTTTAACAGTCCATTATACTATATTTTTATACACATACTCATTGTAGTAAAGTAGGAACTGACTTATAGCTAACGCTCCAGAAGGTTTTGAGAGGTTGTAAATTTCATGGGAGGTGATTGCCCATCTTTCTTCCACAAATAAGCTGGTAGATTTGAATTATCTGCCTTTGGGCTGGCAGTACAACTCCCTACTCACTAGGCCTCACTAAGCTTGTTTTCATAAAGTTAATTCCATCCCATGGTGACCTAATATGCGTCAGAACATAACTGGGCTCCATAGAGCTTTGGATGAATAATAATATTTCAAAAGCAGATTTCCAGGCTTTTCTTTTGAAGACCCTCTGGACGGAAGGAATCAAATAATTAATTTTCAGTGTGCATTTACTGAGTGTATTTCTTGATAGCATACTATGTCAGGACTTACTCTCAACACTTTGTGTGCATTAAGTTATTTAATTTCACAAAGTCTATTGAGCAGTGTAATTTTTGTTCTTATTTCATAGACAATCCAATGGAGCTAAAACATAGTAAGGTTTTAATTCAGTCTCTTTGGATCCCAAACCCCTGGGCTCAGAGATATTAAATCATATCAAATAGTATATACTACTAATAGTTTTTATCTGACTAAAGTTTACAATTTATCTGTGTTTTTCAGCCAACATGTGATGTCTAAAGTGGGGGAAATGGGCCATTAATGCATAGGGCCACCATTATCTCTCTGAAAGGGCTAGAGGAAATGAGAATAGCACAATCCCTCGCTGTCTACCCCTCTTCCACTTTTAAGAGAGGGAGACCAGGCTTTCCCCTAGAGCTAGCATCTTGAATTTGGACTTCGAGCCTCCTGAACTGCAAGAAAATAAACTTGTTAAAGTAATCCACATCTATTCAAACTGCACTAGCTAACCAAGATAAACGTGTATGTATATGTACAATAATATTGGGAAAAATGTCATCTGCTGTTAACAAAGACACTCTTTCAGATGTGGAACACAAAAATGTGCAACAAAAAAAAAGTGCAACAGTGAATGAATGGAAATGCAAGTTCTTTATAAACTTTCAATTAAAAAACCAAACAAAAAAAAGTGAAACACCAGACCTTCACTTCTACACCACATTTCTATAATGTTTCTAGCTGTTTCAATGTTTACTATGAATATACTTTGTTACTCTTGTTGTTTGATACTGTAGAGTCCAGCATGACTCATAGCAACACTGTGAACAAAAGATGTGAGCCCTATTCTATCCTGTGACATCCTCACACTTCTGGACACACAAGAAAGAGCCCATTGCAGCAGTCATCATGTCAATCCACCTGGTTGAGGTCTTCCTCTTCTTCACCGACCCTCCACCCTTCCCAGCATCATGTCCATCTCCAAGGAATAGCCCCATGTCCATCTCCAAGGAATAGCCCCTACCAGCAACATGCTCAAAGTATGTGAGGCAGAACCTCATCATTCTTGCCTCCAAAGCTGCACCTTCTTCAAGTTTCTGTTTTTTTCTCTTGTCCGTCCATGTGATGTTCAGTGCCCTCCCCCAGCACCACAGCTCAAAGGCATCAATTCTTTTCCTGTCATCTTTTTTCAATGTCCAACACTCAGATGCATAACAAGTAATTGGAAAGACCATGGCCTGAATCAGATGCACCTTAGACCTCAAACTGACATCGTTACTTCTCAATAATTCGGAGAGACCTCAAACTGACATCATTACTTCTCAATAATTCGGAGAGATCCCTAACTGCAGATTTTCCCAGTGCAATGTGTCTCCTTATTTTCGGACTGCTTGTACCAAGGGTGTTAAGTATGGATCCAAACAAGATGAAGCTGTTGACAGTTTCAATCTCCTCTCCATCCATAATGCTGCTATTAGTCCAATGGTAAGAATCCCTGTTTTCTTGAACAGACTTTACTTTTATAGTTATGATATTTAAAAAAAAATACTTCTATTAAAATAATTTTAATAGTCATACTGTACTATATAATACACATGCCTCATAATGCAAACGAATCAATATAAGACTCAAAGGTTGTTTGTTGTTGTTATGTGCCGTCGAGTCGCTTGCAACTCATAGTGACCCTACGTACAACAGCCCTAAACTCTGCTCTGTCCTGTGCCAATCGCACTGTCTCTGACACTCCCATCCCAATTATCCCAGTCACTGAATCAATCCACCTCATAGAGGGCCTTCCTCTCCTGCGCTGTCCCTCCACCCTCCCAAGCATGATGCCCCTCTCTAAGGACCGGTCTCTCCTCACAACATGTCCAAAGTATATTAGACGGAGCCTCCGGTTTAACCCTTTCCAGGACAAATCTGTTTGTTTTCCTAGCAGTCCATGGTATTCTCAATACTCTTCTCCAGCACCACAGCTCAAAGGCATCAATTCTCCTTCTATCCTCCTTCAAAGGTTACTTCTAATTTATCCAACAACTGTACTGCAATAAATAATATATTATTATTATTATTATTATTATTATTATGTTCCCACCAATGTGGCTAGATCGTCATTGACTGGACTGTCAATTTCTACTATTTGGCAATATCTACCAAATCTAAACTGATGCATACAATAACAAATGACATGGTAAGTCTACTTCAAGGTACGTAACCAATAAAAATGTGTCATATATGTGGATCAAAAGATTAACAGAGGGAGCTCTTGTGGCCTAGTGGCAAGAAGCTGTGCTGCAATTCCAAAGGTACATGGTTCAAATCTACCAGATTTTCCACTGGAGAAGGAGGAACAATCCGTTCCTGTACCAGTTGGATCTGATTTGACAGTATACACAAAATTACAAAAAAAAAAAAAATTAAAAAAGATAAACAAAGATGGTAAAAGCAACACCAGGGATACTACCCAAATGGCTAAGATGGATATATGAATTATACTGTATTAATATAAATAGGAAGCCACAGAGTTATGAAAATAAATAGTTTTGTACTACATGGGTGATTTTTAAACATAATGCTAAATAAAAGAAGCTAGACACAAGAGCATATGAACCACACAAATTTATCTACAAACAAGTTTAAAAACAGACAAGCCAAATGGTGATGAAGTTAGGGAAGAGGTTACCTTTGCAAAGAAAAATCGTTATTTTGTTATCAGAGTGGTATATGTACAAATGGGTTCACTTTCTGAAAAGCCTAAAATTTGTATACCTTTCCAAATATTTCCTTAAAAATCTATCTATCTCTAGTTCCCACTGTATCGCCAGGTCAAGCCACGGTTCACCACCAAGCAGCCCGACACCTTCTAGGCACAGCCCCTCTGCCTCATTCCACTCTGCCCAATAAAATGCCTTGGCGATTGAAAAAAAACCCAAACCTATCTCAAAAAAAAAAAAACAAAACAAAAACCAATCTAGATTTTACAACCATATCAATTAAAAACATCAAAATCAAGCCTGTCTCTGAAAGGTTAACCTCTGTTTAAGTGCCTTTTTCTGTTGGTAATCTGGGAGGGTAAATAAATATTGAGTGTTTAAGAGCAAGGGTTCTAGAGTCAGACTTGGGTTCAAATCCAAACTCTGAGATACTTCTAAGGGCAAAATCTTTGCAAGAAATTTGACTTCTAAGGTTTGAGGAGATCTAAAGAAGAATGAACGCATGAGAAGTGCCTGCCCACCAGTGCCCCAGGAAAGTCAGTATGAGCCTTTACTCCAGTTTGATTTTATGACTATGCTGAATGTCTTGTGAATCCTTTCATTATTACACTCTCATGAGGGCTTCATTTATTCCACTTAGGAATTAGAAGAAACAAAATATGAAAAATCTTGCCATATCACAGAGCCAGCAAGAAACCTGTGCATCCAGTCTCCCCCCCAGCACCTCTTGCTCAGCTCTAATGCCCACCCTGGCCTGACCAGATGCACAGTCCCACTCCCGGCCTTGCTACAGACCTTCAGCCTCTCGTTTTCGAGCTTGAATGCAGAATATTCAGCAGTCTGACGGTGGAGTCTCTCCACGAGGCTGTCCCGGTCTTCCCTCATCTTTTCCTCCAAGGTCTGTTGTTGATTCACCAGATCTGTTACCCGGCTGGCAGGCCCCAGAGTGAAAGCAGAGAGAATCAATTACATGCAGCCCCCAAACATCTGACTTACAAATAAACTCGTCTTTCTCTACAAACACCCTTTTATTGAGCCTTAGACAGGACAAAGAGAAAATAATCCTTCAGGATGAGAGAAATGAGACCATAATTCTGCCAAACTGTAATGGCTTTCACAAACACAACAGAGAACAAAGGAAATCATCACAAGATGTGATTAGGAGTATGCATGATTCAGCACTGTCACAAGCAGGTCTAAAGGTAGGGAAAGATGACTGGAGTATATACATGACTGAAGGTTAAAAGGCTTTCAAGTTACCTAGCTCTGTGGTGCTCAGGGAACGAGTCATGACTATGCAACTCTGAAACATAGCCTCAGGGTTGCTATAAGACAATACCAGGACCCCAACTCTCATTAGTCAGCATGCAGGTCTTTTCAGTAATGTATTAAGAACATGCCCTGGCATGGTCCCTTGTAAGCCTGACAGCCACCCTTCTTCCCATGGGCCATAGCAGACTTGTCTATTCACAGCCTGTTGCTGCCTTAAGGGTCAGAAAGACAGAAAATGCCTGCTGAACATATGACATCATGATTTGAAATGAAGTTAAAAGCTTCTGGTATAGATGTCTGCCTTCCACAAATGAACTGCATTAAACTTTAAGCTCTAGTATGTTCCTTCCTCTTGATCTTGAATCTGTTTAAAATCATTTAATCATATTTGGGTTGGTAGGTTATCTTCTGCATGGACTAAATTCCCAGGCTTTTTTTTTTTACAAGTAAGCCCCACCTCATTTCTTCATCATGCTTTATATAGTGCTTACTCTTCACTTTTCTTCTTTTGAGGGAAACATGGAGTGGAGAAACATTAAAAATTTGCCCTCACTTTGAAACATTAATCCCTACTCACAACAAATTCATCATCACAATCATCTTCACTTGCTGCATGAGCAACTTTTCTTTAAGCATATTTTTTTCTCTTTTTATTCATTCACTGTTGCACATTTTCCTCCCTCCCCCAGTGCATGTATAAGCTTTAAGTCATTAAAAGGGCTTCAAGTCTTTTCTTAAAATAAAGTTAAGGCTAAATAAAAATGCAAGCATTTGTTCTCCTTTGTTAGCTGGGGGGCTGCCTGTAAACAGTTCTGAGAATCCAGAGTCTTTGTGTAGAGTGCAGCCAAGGATTGCTGCTCATGCCACATCATATCTCCTGGCATCCTGCCTGCTTCTTAATCTCTTGGTGTTTAGCTGCAATCCATATTAAAGGCTATGATCTTTGAACTTCATCAAGCGTTTCAAGTCGTCTTCACTTTCAACAAGCAAGGTTGTGTCATTTTGTATCATGCAGGTTGCTGATGAGTTTTCCTCCTATCCTGATGTTCTATTATTCTTCATAGAGTCCAACTTTTCAAATGATTTGCTCAGCATATAGACTGAATAGAACAATCCTGATGCATACTTTTCCTGATTTTAAACCATGTAATGTTCACTTGCTCTGTTCAGAAAACAATAATGCCAACAACAATCGCTAGATTATTTATGAGCTTTGGTGGTAAGGATTTGTACCATCAACCTAAAGGCAGGCAGCTCAAATCTGCCAGGTCCTACCAGAGGCAGTCTCCTCCTGTGCGGTTTACTGCCTCAAAACTTGCTATGTTACTTGGACTATGTCTAAGAGCAAATAAGCAACAACAACAAAAAAGATGCATTGCACAATGAAAGAAACTTTTAAAAAAGAAAAGCAAACTGGGGGAGGGTTAGGGAGGAAAATGTGCAACAATGAATGAATGGAAATCCAAGTTTTCTGTAAACTTTCATTATCAAAATATTTTAAAAAAAGACTATGTCCAATCCTTGCATGAGACAAATCAAGATCAAAATGTGTGCAGCCAGGCAACTTGTCAAAGAAAAAGTGATGGATGAAAAAAGATAAACAAGAAGATTGGAAAAATGAAGGCTGAAGATGGTGAAAATTTGCCATTAAAAAAGCAGACAGAGATCTTGCAAAAATCCCGGATGATGATTCCAGATTGCCAGCGCAGGTTGAGAAGCTGTATATGCCGATCTTTAGATCTTTAGAAAGTGATAAAAACTTGGAAGACACAGAAGACTATAAAGAAGATGGATTCAGTGAAGTTGGAAGCCTGAAACTTTTCTGTATAGCGGGTTTTTCTGCCTTAAATGCTAGAATCCATTCCACAATTCATTATGTTTGACCATTACTATGTTATTTTTAAGTAGTATGAGAATGTGATTCCTTTTATGCATTTGCATGCATTTTCTTGGCCTAATTTAAAGTGTCAAATTAGTCTATTAAAAAAAAAAGCACACCAAAAACTCGGTATAATTGGTCCTGACTCGATGGCAAATAATAAAAAGAAAATAACTGAAAAGACCACGGGGAAACATACCTTAAGTGCAATTTAGACTGACATCTTTGCTACTGAGCACTTGGAAAGGGCCTTGACAGCCGATTTCTCCAGTACAACATGTCTTCTGATTTCTTGACTGCTATTACCATGGGTATTGATTATGGATCCAAGTAATATGAAATCACTGACAACTTCAGTTGGAGGCAAAATCCTACTCATCCTTAAAAGCCTCCCCTCCTCAGGACATCTTTTCTACCCCTCTTCCTCTGTACCATGCTCCTTTCTACTTTAATTATCTCCCACTAGACTGAGAATTCCCTGAGGGTCTTGATTGTGCACACAAGTCTTGATTGAAGTGCACACTTGATTGTCTGCACACAGCAGATTTTCAGGATCTATTTGCATATCCTCCCTCCACAAGGCAGACTGATAGACTTGGAAACTACAGATAACTCTGGATCTCTTACAGCCTGGTCTCCTCCTCTAGAGAACATGATTTCATTCCATCAGTGCAGGACCGCACTTATTTTTTACTACTACAATCTTTGAGGCCATCACATAGTTTAGCATATAGTAGATGTTTAATAAAACATCTAAAAGGATGAAAGAAGAAATTAATACAGCTTGCACTGAAAATGACCCAGCAGTAATTCTTTTTTTTTTTAAATTTATTTATTTTTCATTTCCAGCAGTAATTCTTAAGTTATTTATTCATTATCTGCTGATAATTCTTAAGTGGCAGAAAAGGTCACGTTTGGCCCCTCCTCCTATACCTAGTGACTGACCAGCGCTGGCAAGACAACAGACTAAACAAAAACGGAGCATCAGTTGCCCTATCCCTCAAAATAAAATAGAGCAGTGAGAACACAAGTGTGGTTATTTCCCGTGCTGTGTAGCCTGCAAAGAGAAGGTGCTGGAGTCAGGCCCAGGTCTGTGACCAACCAAGGAAGCTTGGCCCTTCCAGTGCTTGCCAGTGGGTAGTACCCTAGGATATGGATAGAACCTAGAACTGAGCATCAGCGAGAAAGCCTGGATCAGAGCTGGCCCCATTTCACCCTAATGCCTGACCAACAGAAAGAGCCTGACCAACAGGCTCTTTCTACCCGCACACCCCAGCTTCTCAACCATGCCCCCTTTACCTTCCCATCTCCTAACCCACAAAGACGTACTCATTTAGGACAATAATTTCCAGCTCAAGGTCACCCTTATCTTTCACAACTTGGTTGTAGCGGCTCCTCCATGATTCCAGAGTGGACAAAGCCTCGGCAACATAAAGATCCTGGAAACACAGGACAACAGAGCCTGTCAGCCCAGGGCTGGCCTCACTCACTAATTCACCTTTCAGAAAAACACAGATTGATGATAACGGGAGCCTAGCTCCAATACTGCCAGTAGTCACACATATCCAGTTTGCAAATCCTTCCTTAAACATCCTATTTGTAGCTACAATATGCAACCATCCCTCCTCTCCCATCATCTCCAGCCCTCTCTTCTCCAAATCTAAACCCATCAACTACTCTTCCTCCCATGCCAACTACCTAGCCCATCAGCTTAAGTCCCTTTTCCACTATCACCAGGTCACGTCTACCTAGTTTTTCCACCTCTAGCCACCTACAATCCACTCAAACCACCTCCACCCACCTACTGTCCATCTATCTACTCACACCACCATCACCATAATGCAACCCACCAAGGGCAGGTGAGAGGTCAGAGGACCCCCAGGACTACTACCTTGTCAGCAAGCTGCACGTGCAGGTGCTCAGCATACTCCTCACTCTTCTCAGCTCGCTCCTTCTGGGCTCGGATGGCCTTTTTCAAGGTCTCTTTGTCTCGATCTCCCTTCTGCTTCAGTTCCTTCAGCTGCTCCATGATGGCCTCTACTTCTGCCTTGTGCTGGTTTCCACTGCGTTCCAGGTTCTAGGGGCGCAGAGGGAGGAAAAGGGGGCAAGGAAGAGGTAGGTAAAGAGAAGGTAGGGCAAGAGTCACAGGGCGAGAGGGAGAACAACAGACAAACAGGAAGGGAAGAATGCAGAGAGCATCCAGTCATCAATGGAATAGGAGCCACAAGCACAGTTCCTTCTTGCCCCAGGGCCCGCCACTTCTTCAGCTCATGATGTCAAGAAAGAACACCTCTGAAATCCTCCCCCAGGCATTTCTTTCCATCTCAGCATTTATCACACTGGTTATAATTGCTGGCTTGGCTTCTGTCTCCTCAGGGGAGGGCAGGTGCCTGGCTAGGCTTATCATATGTGAGAACCCCCATTTTACATAATCCAGAAAAGGAAAGACAACTTAGGAAGGAGTGGCCCACTCTGCCCTTGGTTCTATCCCCTACTCCTCTCAGTCACTAGGCAAAACTATAATCAAAGAACAGAGGCTACGGCCTCAGAAGAACAAAGGGCTCACAGATACAAAGAATATTTGAGACCATCTGCCCAATATGGTCAGTCTAGTGAACTGAAGGTCTAAGATATTAAATGACTGACCCATGGACATGAAACTCAAGCTTGCCAAGGCCAGGTGGGACACTCAAGGCCTCAGGGTCTCTGCCATTTTCCCCAGAGTCTCTTTGAAGCCCTCAGTGCTCTGGTAATAGATGCCCTGTAAACCTTTAAGGCAAAGCCTTGCTGAGTGTAGTAAGCCCATGACTAGGGCACCTTCCCTAGATTCCCAAGCCCTAGCTTCTTCCCTTCCCACTTGTGGGTGTAGTAGGTACCTTGATCTGCATGCATAAGCGACTGTTCTCGGCCTCTTTACATCGAAGTTGAGCCTGTAAATGCCCACGCATGGACTCCATGGATTTAGAAAGCTCAGATGCTGTCTTTGCTTGAGCCTTTGGAGAGACAAAGTGTCAAAGTCAGGCTAGGAACCCAGTTCTCCAACTTCAAAAAACACACTCTTTATCGCTGGTTTCCACTGGCTTATTAAATAGGAGCAACAGTCAGGGACAGAATGACAGTACCTTCTCACACTGAATTTCCTGGAGTAGTTCTTCGACCTCTTTGTCCTTGTCTTGCAGTAGTAACAGCAGGCGCTAGGAGAAAACAAGTATATTATCTGTTTGCATTAAATTTTTTTAAAACCATAAACACACATTTGCTATTTTTTTTCCAAGTAGCATTAACTGTGAGAAATACTGAAAATTAACCAGAAACTTCTAAAAAACCTCTACAATGCGCATACCCAGATAACCACTAACTACTAATAAATGTTATAAAGGTTTTGAGTATATTCTTCTCTATAATCTCGTATTTATCATAATGTGATTAAATCATTTAGATCTTTTGGAACAGCTGTTTAATGTTTCAATTTCCTACTGTATCTTAATTTAGCAAGTTCTAAATAGCATGATGAAAACATTTAATGTCCCTGAATGGTATACAGGATGACTGTTAAAACAGCAAATGTGTGTTTATATATATACATATATATACACACACACACACACTACAGCGAAAAATAAAATTAAAAACAATAACAAAAAAAACCAAAAACCCTCTCTTGAGCTAAGAATACAGGATTTGTAATTATCAGGATTGATGAATCCCCAGGCCCTACTCAGGCCAATAATTTACCTAATGACATCAGGCCAGGAATTGGCCTTCCAACTTTCTTCCTTTTCTTAAAGGATTCCCAATGAGCAGTAACATATCAAAGACTCAAAAAGGTTTTATGACACCTATCAAACTTTTTGTTCAGGCCAGTCAGTAGTTTCACAAATTCATATAGCCCTGACTTTTATATACAGCCACCACTTTTGTTTCTTCTCCTCATTAACATCTCCAGGAATTTAGGATTCCATGGAAATATGTCTTTGTAAAATATTGCTTTGGGAAAAATTCCTAGAATGGTAACTGTTCAGTCAAAATGTGTGGTTATTCTTCAATTAAAATGTTTCTACTTTTCCGTGACTTTTAATGCATAACACAAGCAAGGAAATGTAACAAAACTCTGGTAATCTATAAATGTTACGCTGTTTTCATCATTTCTCCAGTGGTGTCCAGCTCTGTGATTCAAGCTCTCAAGCGTTCAACCAGGCCAGCCCAGTAGAACAAGCAGGACAAGGAAGATGAGCCATTTTACAAATCACAATGCAAAGCAGAAGTGAGGGCCCTCTCAGTTACCGCTTTCTCGGAGTCTGCCTCTGCCAGCCGTTTTAGCAGTGCTCCTTGTTGCTCCATCAGCCTTTCAGAATCCTTTGTGGGAAGGCAAAAGGAAAACCAAGTCATCAAGCAATAAACCCAGATGTCTACTTCTTAATCTTTTAATTCTCCAGAAATCCTACTTACATTTATAGAAGTACTAACTGACTACATTGGTTCACAACATTTAGCGAATACCAATAAAGCTAAAGTTAACCTCATTCCTACTTTCAACTCTTAAATTTGATAAATTTTCATCCAAGCTGCATGTGGAAAAAATGCTGTTAGGGGGATGGGTAGGGAGAGGCACATGTGCATTTTCATAAAAATGACTCATTTTGTGTGCAAGGAAAAAAATACACACTGTATTTTTGTGCTACAACTTGATTTTGTTTTCTTCCCTCCCCCTTTTAACCATATACATTTAGAGACATATCCACAGCAAAAAAAGTCTATCTCCAAAAATCTATTATATCCTTACTCAGCACTACACAGACTTTTTTTTTTAATATCTTTGAGTCAAACTCAGCATTGGAGGATTGTAAATCAACTTTAGGTACATTAATGTTAATAGTTTTTGATAAGCCACTACCAATGGAATAGCCTACACAGCCTTTTAACCTATGGATATGGCATTGAAATTTCCCCTCTCCCTAATGATGAACATTGGAATTCTTCCAGGTTTTACCACTACAAACACTGTAGCAATGGGAGCTGTGCACGTATAAAATCTTTCTTCAGGGCATGACTCAAGAAAAGGAATTGCCAGGTTATAAAATCTATGATCTGTGGTTGCCCTAGAACCTGAAGAAATGGCCTACACAATCCCTCCACTGAGTTTTCCTGCATAAAGAGGGCATAAGCACTGGTGCTCCACTCACCAGCACAATTCGTGGCTAATCTTTCACCACCTTTAACAGTCAGCTGATTAATGTGCTTTTCTTTGATTGACAGAGATGTCTATCATCTTTTTATATGTTTCTTAATCATCTGTGTTTTCTAGTCTCTGAACTACGCGCTTAAATCCTGTCCATAGGGCTATGTCTCTGTGAACTGCTCGTGTTCTTCCTGTGCACCTGAAGAAAGTGTCCCCTGAAGAAAGCCACCCTCTCTTTCCTTCTCACTCTTAGACATCTCCTTCACAAGCCAAGAGGAAAGGGTGCCTAGCTCCTAAAATTTCCTTGAGGACCAGGGAACTGTCAGAAGACAGAACTGTCATTTCTCCAGCAAAATGGAAAAAAACCAAAACAAATACTCCAACAAAAGGGCAGAGGAGAGGAAGTCTAAGGCAGGGAACCAGAGCACAAGGTTGTTCTCATTCGCATTATGCTCACACCCTCCCAGGCCTCAGAGAGACACAAGAACACCTGCCTCTTCTGCCATCCCAAACACATGATCTCATCAATCCTCTGCCTGAACGGGCATGCCCAATTCACCACCTCCATTCGACAGATGAGGCTCAGAGAAGTGAGAGATGCTGTCCAAGGTCACAGGGCTAGAAATGACACAGCCAAGCCTGCGATGCTGATCTTGACTGCTGATATAGAACAGTTCCAAAGTAAGCCTGTATGGTGACAAGGGGGCTAGAGTGTCAGACGGGCAATGAGATCAGTGCCTGGAAACAAATGCCCGTGGTAGGTATAAGTCTGAGTAGCTAACCCTTCACTTCCAACTGAGATTCCTGCATTCTGGCATAGCCGAACTCGAGAAGTTGAAAAGAGGGTTTTCTGAGGGCCACTGGTCTTAGCACGGCGAGAGTGTCAGACGGGCAATGAGATCAGTGCCTGGAAACAAATGCCCGTGGTAGGTATAAGTCTGAATAGCTGACCCTTCACTTCCAACTGAGATTCCTGCATTCTGGCAGAGCCGAACTCGAGAAGTTGAAAAGAGGGTTTTCTGAGGGTCACTGGTCTTAGCACAAACAGCAGCAGCATCTGTCATTTACCAAGCTCCTATTATGTATCAAGCAGTATGAAAAATCCACTAATTTCACAAACTCATTTTACAGATGAAAAAAACTGAAGCTCAGAGATGTAAAAATCTCTCCCAGATCATGGAATCAGAAACACAAGAGGTGTGTTTTGGAGAATAATTTAGCCATAACTAGTAAAACTGATGGAAATATCCTAGAAACTCTCAACTAAATATACCAGGACAAGGTAGTTAAGTTTTAAAAGTAACACTGCATAACAACAATTGAAAACATAAATATAGATCAAAAGATGAATGGATAAATTGTGGTATAGTCATAAAGAGAATAACTTAAACTCAGAACTGACTCATAGCTTAGTGGTAAGGAGTTGCATTGCCAACCCAAAGGCACCTGGTTCTAATTCACCAGCTGCTCTGCAGGAAAAAGATGGGCACTCTCCTCCCATGCAATTAAAGTGCTTTTGAAAATCTGCTGGAGAGTCAGCTATGAGTTGTTTCTGACTCTGGTACATCATAACAACAACAGCTGATTCTCAAATGAGTTTTCGTAGGCTGTAAATCACAAGACTTTCTTTCTCCCATTGAGCTAATGGATTTTAACTGCCTTTGTGTTAATGCAAATCCTTACAGACTAGGTATGTCCTTACAGAATATAACAGTGAAAATTAATCATCTCCGACTTCAAAGATAAAAATGGATCAAGTTGATAAAAAAACAAGTTATATGAAAAAAGAACACATACAGAACAATATAATTTCTATAAAGTAACACTACAGGTGTTTTGGGATACATTTGTAACAAAAACCCCCAAGCCCATCAAGTTTAAGATAAAAGTTCCCTTGAAGGTTATTAAAAATAATATACACACCACAACAAGATAAACAACCCAACTGAAAAATGGGCACAGGATATTAACAGACACTACCCCAAAGAAGACATTCAGATGGCCAAAAAGCATATGAAGAAATGTTCAAAATCCCTAGCTCTAAGAGAGATACAAATCAAAACAACTATAAGATATCATCTTACCCCAGTAAGAATAGCAAAATTTAACAGAACAGCAAACAACAAATGCTGGTGAGGTTGTGGAGAAACTGGAACCCTTCTTCACTGTTGGTGGGAGTATAAAATGGTGCAACCACTATGGAAGGCAGTGCGGCGTTTTCTCAAAAAGTTGCAAATTGAAATACCATTTGACCCAGCAATTCCATTACCGGGAATATACCAAAAAAAAACCCCTAACTGCCACCCAAGCAGATATATGCACACCCATGCTTATTGTGGCTTTGTTCACAATAACAAAGAGTTGGAAACAACCGAAGTGCCCATCAACAAACAAATGGATAGAGAAGCTGTGGTATAGTCACAAAATGGGATACTACATTGCATTGAAAAACAAGGAACTCATGAAATATTTTTCAAAATGGGTGACCCTGGAGGACATTATCCTGAGTAAAATATCTCAGTCACAAAAGGATAAATACTGCATAGTGCCACTGTTGTAAAACGGGACTGACAATGGGGTTGGAGGGAGACTGAGAAAGATAGGATAAAGTATGTATACTGTATTGAACCAGATGAGGGAGAGAACTGTTTAAAAGGGATATATGATTAGGTATTATTGTCATGACAGGAGTCCAGAACGAAGGATGCTTAGTGGAGTGGTCTTGGGGAGGGGGTGTGTATAACAATGAAAGACTTTTACTTTTCATAGAGAAGAGCGAACTGGGGGGAAGTTGGGCAGGGAAAAAAGTGTAACAATGAATGACTGGAAACCCTAAGTCTCTGTAAACTTTCACTAAAATTAATTAATCTGTGCTCCAATACAGAAGGCTTGTAGTTCAAATTCATCAGTTGCTCTGATGGGCAATCTCCTACTGTGTGACTTACTGCCTCTGAAAACCCACTGGGGGCTCAGCCATGGTTCAGTTCCAACTTGATGGTAAATAACAACAATAAAATATCAACCTGGATTTTTATCCCAAATAACTAAGTATTAATATTCTGACAGTAATTTCATCTTTTTTAATTAAATCCTAAAGAAAAAAAAATGAAGACACAAAGTCAACTTGATGGCACCTAATGGCAACAACATTTTTCAATTTTTCTGACTTACAAAATTTTCAGAATAAAAAGTTGGGATTCTTCTTCCAGATAGCAGAAGAGAAATAAAAACTTGTAGCCACACACAGAGACTTGAGTGACAGCAATGTTACTCCTAATAGTCCCAAACTGGAAGTTTTCCAAGTGACCATCAGTTAGTAGATGGGTAGACAAAATGTGGCCTATCCATTCATTGGAATTCAACCCAGCAATTTTAAAAAGGAATCAACTCTAAGTAACACAATAGATAAACCTCAAGGATAACATAGAACTTCTTCCTCTTTAAGAGAAGCTGTGTAGAGGTATTCAAAATGGTCCAGTATCTGCCCTACCGTCACAGGCTGTCCTACAACACAGACTCTAACCAAACTAGGCTGTCTTCAAACCCTAGTCTACCTTTATACCAAGAAGGTTGGGAAAACACCAAAATCTGCATGTGGTGTGGGCCCAGGCTGACTAAGAGGGGTACAGCACGTGCTGGTGAGACCTAAAGTTCTCATAAGGTTATCAAAAACAAAAGAACCTGTCAGCAGGGGTTATGGTGGTTCCTGTGTGCTCAGAGTGTCCGTGACAGCATTGAGCGTGCTTTCCTTATCGAGGAGCAGAAAACTGCTGGGAAAGTACTGAAGGCCCAAGAACAAAATCAGAAAGCGAAATAAAAAATGGTGCTTCTTAAATAAAACCATAATTTGTTCTGTTAAAAAAAAATAAGATGTAAAATACTACATATTATATTTACGTGAAATATTTAGAAAAGAAACTTCTATTGAGGCATAAGGCAAGTAAGTAGCTACCTGGAGAGAGGGTGGAAGCAGGAACTGACTGCAAATAGCCATGAAGAATTTTCTTAGTCTGATGGAAATGCTCTAAAATTGTGGTGAAGCTGACACAACTCTAAATTTAATAAAAGTCACTGCATTGTATGCTTCCTGTGGGCAAATTTTATATGTAAAATTTATCACAGTAAAAGTGTAAAAAGAAAAATGAATCAAGATTCACTTTTTCTGGGAGGGAAGAAAAAAAAGACACAAGAGAGATTAAAATTTAAGTTTTATTTCTCTAGTTGGGCAGTGTACATAACACTCGGCTTTATCCAAAGATAAATTTTAAAAATAAAGACAAAAGAGGCCAATGTTGGCGAGCTCTGGTGGCCTAGTGGCAAGAAACTGCACTGCAATCCTAGAAGTATGCGGTTGGAATCCACCAGATGCTATGCTGGAGAAGGAGGAAAAATTTCCTCCTGTACCAGTCAGATCTGATTTGACGGTACACACACAAAAATAATAAAAATAAAATTAAAAAATTTAAAAAAAAGACGCCAATGTTGTTTTTTTAAAAAAGACATTATATTAAGAAATGTCATTTTATCAACATTGGCATTTTGAGGCATTTAGTATTCCTTTGATTTCAAACAGGAAAGAGACTGTCGATTGTGTTAGGTCTTTTCAGAATCATCTGCTAACATGAAATATGATTTTTAGTACATCTCTCAAGAAAACTAAATGATCCTACACAATTTGGGTTTGTCAGCCATTCATCATTATACTTTAAAAAACAAACCAACCTAAAAAAAAAAAAAAACCAAACTAACCAACCTGAACTCAGGTCCAGCACTCTCCAGCTTTGCCACACACTTTCAAAATCCCCCACTGTCCCTATTCTAATCGCTAAGGATCTTCACATACTGCCTTCAACTACTACTAAGATGGTTTCTGCGTAGTGGGTGTAAAACACTGTGTGAATTATTTCATTAAATATCTCTACAGTCTCAGCCAGGCATGAGTATTATTCCCTTTTTTACATTCCTCTCTCCATTTGAGAGCTAAGGAGACTAAGGCACAAAGAGGATGAGCAAGTAGCACTAGAGGGGAGGAAGAGAGGCAGAACCCTCCCACTCACGATGGGGGCTGAGGCCAAGCACTCACCTCTTTGCTATGCTGTTCCCTTAGCAGGTCTCGGAGAGTGCGGTTGGTCTCCTCAAATGTGCTCAGCTTCTGCAGGAGGAGTTCCTTCTGTCTTGTTAGGGTGTTGATGTCCGTGCAAGTCATTTGTTTCTCCTAGAAGATAACTGAGTAGTTTCACAATGTGCAGGAAGAGAGGGGAGGCAACAGAGGCAGGCACTGCGGGTAATGTAAGCTGCTTAGATATGAAGAACTACAGCTGTGTACAGAGCCAAGGTGGTGTTGGACAGGCTTCTTGGAGAGGTGAGGAGGTACTACTACAAGAGAGCTCAGAGTGGGCAGTTACAAGGCAGGCTTCCAGGAGATGGAGGAGGAAGACGACACCTGGTGGCTGATACTGATGGGAATCAATTGCATGCCCTGACTTAGTATGATCACAACAGAGCCATGATGAGGTTTCTTAAGAGGCCCTGGCCACCAGAGGTCATCTTCAAATGAAAAGGGCCTGGCGAGTATGAGTAAGGCTATGTGGGCTGAGGGGTCAGGGGGTAACCTCTCCTAGCACAGTTACGTCACAAAGTCAGCCTGATGACTACACAGAGACCCCACCCCAGCCTGAAACTGCCCCCACTCTGAGTCTAGTCCCCAAGCTGTGCTTGTCATCTACCGTTTTCAGCTTCCCGATGGTGTCCTTCAAGGCCATGACCTGCTTGGCAGCTGCAGCTCCATCCATTTCGGCCTCCACCAGCTTGGACATGAGACACTCCTTCTCCTGCTGGAGGTGTTTCTTCTGGAGCCTGGGGCCAGAAATAACAGGGCTCGTCAGCCCTCCCAGACCTCGCGTACCCAGAGCACCAAGACTCACTTCACAGTGCCCTGCAAGGTTCTGCTCAGGTTCAGGGTCGGGGGGAAGTAGAAAGGGACAGCCTTCAAGGCCGGGATACTTCTGGAAGGACAGGAGTCTGGGTCACATTCCAGCTAGAAAGCAGACTAAGGCCTTGACACCAGATGACATCATGTTACCTATGGCCCTGTGTGTCTCTTAAACAATCTAGTTATCACCACTGTCACCGTCCCTATCTGCCACTACCATGACCTATCCTCAGTTCTGGTTTTGAGCCCATTAATTTGCACTATCACTGCTGTCAAATCTGACATTGCTTTGCTTTGAAAACTTTCCATGCATTCTAAGAGTCCGCCTCTTCCCACTTCTATCACTGCGAGCTCCCTTGCTCTCTACCCACCTCCACTGCCCCTGCTCCCATTTCTCAAGCACATTTTCCCACCTTGGATCCCTCACAATACGACATTTCCCCACTATCTAGCATGCTCTCATCGTGCAAGATTCTATTAATGTCACCTGTCTAGAAAGCTTTTCACACTCAAGGTGGTCCTCCTTTTTCTCACTGTGAATCACAAGAATAAAGGGGTAATTCCTTGTGTGAGATTGTGTTCCAAAACGTAGAAGTATGCCTGTGACTGGCTCTCCCAGAGCTTAGGGCAGCCTGGCTCAACAGAGGTGTAGAAAGAAATCAGCTGGCCGCAGCAGGTGGGGTGCCGCCTTACATGGTGAAGTCTTTCTCCTCCTTCATACGCTTGATGTTGTGCCTGAGCACTGTGTTCTCATGCTCAGTCTCAGCCAGTTCATGGGCCACCTCCTCTAACTCCTCTTTCCGCTCCTCAAGGAATCGCTTGGCCATCTGTCGCTCACCCTTCTGCATCTTGACCTGCATAAAGGCAAACGGGCAGGGATCACTGAGGGGAAGTTCTCCCTCTCTGCCAACTATGCCCTGTCACTTTGAACTACAATAAGTGCACCTTCAATTTTGTGAGTGATGTGACAGGCCTTAGGCGGGGTCCTTTATGATAAGAATCTTAGTTAAAAGCCCCTCTGAGTGATTAACGTTCCTTTCTTCATTTTGTATATGAGAAGACTGAGCAGAGAGGATGAGCAACTTGCCCTATTGGTGGGGCTGGAGACAGGATGTGTGGTTCGAGTGGCATACATTAGGAGGAAAGATGTCATAAAAAGTCCCCTGCAGCCGCAGGAAAGTGGAAAGGAGGGGCTGTTGCCAGGCAGCAAGTCCCAGGTTTTCTAAAAGGGTTCACCAGCTTCAGGTACAGGAACAAGAATTAGACACAGGAAACATTAGCAGTAAAGATTTCGATTTAATACCAGCTCTGCCAACTTCCTATTTGGGGATCTTGGACATATAGGTTCTGTGTCCAGTTGCCCTATCTCCTCCAAAGCGACAACTCAGTAATTGAGGACAAAATGCCCATTGCCTCTTTGGGGTTACTGCTCAACTTCTGTGTAAATGGAAAACCTAAGACCCCTATTTCCTAGCACTTCATGTCTAGAGTGGGGATAATAAAACCCCTACCTTCATCTGCTTTTAAAAAAAGTCAAACAAGTAAGTTTGTAAGAGGTAAGTACCAATCTCAAGGTAAGTGCTCTAAATACAGTAGTATTTCGTATTTACAGTTTTCTCCAACTACATCCCCGGTGGCATCTCAAGTCTTGAATAACCACAAACCCACTGAACATTCCCACACATCCTCATGTACTAGCTATCCTAGTTACCCACACCCTTACCTCAGATTTGAGACAACCAACCGCATTCATTAGACTGTCAATCTTCTTATCATAACGGTTCATTTTACAATGACCAGAGTCATCATCTTCTGTAGAGAGGTCACTTAACCGCATGACTGAGGCCAATTTTTCTGAAGACGGTGGAGTGATCTCCAGGCAATGAGGTGGATTCTGACGGAGAAAAAGGAAACAGACATACATTTATAAGGCCATTGGTTCCAACTTGCCTGCTTGTCTGCTGGAGGCTGACTTCTCTGTCAGGTGGGAAAAGCTAAATGTCCAACAACAGGAACACAAGGGAAGAATATGGAACATTTATGATCCAAATTTAAATGATCTTTTGGGAAAAACTTCTTTCATAGATTTTAAAAGCTTCATCATCATAACGAGGAAAAGATTATATAGTAAGTTTTTGGGGAAAAAATTAGTAACAGTCAAAGGTGACAAAAGTTGAGGCAATAGGTATATTCTGTTGCGTAGAAGTGAAATATGCCAAAAGTCTTCCTAAATGAGTAAGAATGATTGATAGATTAATTAGAAGTGTAGAGAGGGAAAAAAGTGGATTCAGTATGGACAAGAACTCAATATGATGTTAAGAATTTTTTTAGAACTAATTACTGTATTTAGGGGAAGAAAGGTAATATGGCCTAGAAAATACTTTTAAAATACGTCAGCCTTGATATTTGAGATTTTTTTTTAATTTAGTGTGTTTCTCAGTAGTGTTTAGGTAAAACTGCTTAATATGCTGCATTTTAAAAGTATACTTAAGGGAGCTCTGGTGGCCGAGTGGCAAGAAGCTGCATTACAATCCCAGAGTGAGGTTCCAATTCACCAGATGATCTGCTGGAGAAGGAGGGGCAATCTCCTCCTGCACCAGTTAGATCTGATTTGCTGGTACACACACTAAAAATAATAAATTTTTTTTTAATTTAATAAAAAGTATATTTAAAAAAACATTAAACTGATAACCAGTTATCAGAGTTGATAACTGAATTTTACTTGAGTTAAGATAGCTAACATTCTGTTCCAATTTCCAGAATATGAGGGCTATCAGAAATGAAGTTTTCACTAGAGTGTAGAGTGCAGGACTCAGAGGACACTTCAAAAAATACATGTGACCTTTGCCTCCCAGCAATTTTCTTCCAGGAGACTTATTGGTAATGTCACTGAGTCAATCCATCTTACTGTTTCTTTCTCTGACCCTTCATCTTTCCTAGCAGCAGATTCTTTTCTAAGGACTGGCCCCTCCTGACAATATGCCAAAATATGTGAGACGAAGGTCCACTATCCTTGACTCCAGTCTTGGTTGAATACATAATGCTACAAATACATAATGCTACAAACACAAATGCTACAAACAATGTGTTCTCTCACTGACTGCCAGCGAGTCAAATCTGATTAATATAAATCATATGGTTCATAATGGCTTTGCAGGAGCCTGAACATAGGAGATTTTCCAGCTTTCTCCTTTGGAGCCACTAGTGGATTAAAAATTCCAGTCACTGCCTTTGGTTTAAAAATACAACTCCCTCAAAACAACTATGAGATATCATCTCACCCCAGTAAGAATAGCAAAATATAACAGAACAGCAAGCAACAAATGCTGGTGAGGATGTGGAGAAACTGGAACTCTTATTCACTGTTGGTGGGAATGTAAGATGGTGCAACCATTGTGGAAGGCGGTGTGGTGCTTTCTCCAAAAACTGCAAACAGAGATACCATTTGACCCAGCAATCCTATTACTGGGAATATACCCCAGAGAGACCATGTCTGCCATCCAAGCAGATATATGCACACCCATGTTTATTGCAGCTTTGTTTACAATAGCAAAGAGTTGGAAGCAGCCCAAGGGCCCATCAACAGA